AGCGTTTTCCTGATGGGATATGGCAGATAGGACAGTCGTAAAAGGGTTAAAGGCCTTTGCGTGAGTTTTGGAATTTTGTTGGACCGCGACGGAACGATTTGTGCATATTGCGCCGAGTTATGTTTAGACGGTTTGTTCAGATTCCGATGAGCTCGCAAAACTTCACTGATTAACTTTAAAATCGTTGCTGCCGTTTTGTAGAATTTAAAATAATTAATAATATGTCGTTGTTAATTACAATGTGCTATCAGGTGTATATTTTGAATACATTTACGTGGAATGTTTAAAAAACACGAATAGTTAAATCGTTTTCTTCGAGCAAAATAGGCGTGCCTTTAAAAAAAAAAATGTCTTTCAACGATGTGTGATCCGTTTAATTCAAAGTTTTAAAGGCGTAGTATAATAAATATTTAAACTTGTCCGTTTGATATCGTGGAATTTTTATATACATAAATAAACACTTATTCTTTCAAAAAGCAAAATATTAAATGTTTTGGAAATGATAAACTTGGTCCAAAAATCACATCTGACGCGTGTTTTATTATTCTAAAGTTTATGTTCGCGTCTTTAAACGAAAAAGCTAAACAATCAATAAGTCACGAAAGTTCAAAGAATGACAGAGATGTATACTTAGCATGTCATACTTAAAAAGTAAAAAAAAAAGTGACAGGTCAAGAGATATTTTATAAAATTCTCGTAATAATTCTTAGTTGGGCTTATAATGAGGAAAGTCGTTTTAAAAATTCAAACATTTAGATATCTACAGGGAGTCAACAGAGCAGTTTTTATTTATTATACTTTTAAAAATGTTTGTTAATTTGTAAAAATAATACCACCAGGCCGCATAGATGCAATAAATTTAACGTCTAAGTCATTACTGTGGTTGGTCTGCGTTAAGTTCGATTTAATGACATTCACGGTTGCCTGAATTTTAAACATTTCGATTTAAACGCCAACAGACTAGTGCAAAGTTCCTATTGTTTGTAATTCTGCGAGAGGTAGGTAATTTAATTTTCATACTACTTATCAAAACACATTATCGTATAAAACAAATAATTTTATGTTGATAACATTTCATCGTTACCATGTCGTATTCACAATGGTTGTATTTACATTGAAATATGTTATTCATTGAAATCAAACAAATATTATCCATTAAAAGTTTTGAATTTCGAATCATCTCTTGAGATGTAAAGTTGTAACACCTTTATATTTATTCAAATAAGCTTTGGATGGAAAATCAAATTGGTTTATTTACTTAAATTTAAATAATCATTATTTATTTGAATAGTAATAAATGATCAACAAGGTTAAAAGTTAAATTTTATCCCATCAATTCATTTGATAAGTGATTTCAATATGTTTATACAACATAATTGTACTCTAATTTTTATCACAAGGGATTAGTTTGTACTCGTGTTCATAAATTTTATAAGATAAAGTAAATCAATTGAAATAATATTCATAAAAAATAGCTCATACAAAAATGTGTTTAATTTTTAGACAACAAGTTAAACATTTTACGTAATAGACCGGAAGTATGTATTTAATGTGTCGAGGGCTGGTTTTTTAAATAGAACTTAAGTTCTGGTGTACATGCTATTAGGTACTTAATAAAAACACTGGTTTATCTCTATTTTCATATTCTTAAAAAAAATGTTATTGTTTTAAAATGTAAAATTATTTTAAAATGTTTTTGACGAACTGTTTATATTATATTATTTTGAGATAATTAATGTACCGATGAGTTAAGAATAATTTTCTTACATTATGTAAATTTAATACATCATAATATAAAAGTTGATAGAAATTACTGTTAAGTGTTCATAATTTTTTTTAGCGCATAATTTAAAAATAATTTATGGAAGTATGGCATATGAACAATATAAATATACTTAGTATTTTCCAGTAGAAGCAAACTTTTTATTAAAATATATTAATATGTATTATACATGATTTTATAACAATATATTTGATATTCAAAATGTAATGTTTTTATAACGTTATTTAAAATAATAAGGTTGGTGATAAAAAATGTAATTGTTACTTTTTTTTGCATGAATATTAAAAACCATAATAATAATAATATTTGTCGGGTAAATATAATCGTACCATATTTGCATAGGATAAAAAGATATGTTTTCATTAGCTATTGGACAGATGTTTTATTATGAAAAACTGTATTTGTAACGAATTTAATTTTGAGTGTATCTGTTATGACTCTTGTAGTTTTCACACATAAATAATGTAGTTATTTTTTAATTTAATGAAATTATTATAAATTTACGATTAGTACAGTCATATTTTCTGTGCTATAATTATTGGCATTGAATTAATCATAATTATTTACATAATCGAGATTGTATTAGTACCGAGACATGAGATTTATATTTATTGTTCACCATAAAAAATTGAATTGATCAATGTCCTGAATATAATTTATTGTATTATATCGAGTTATTAAAAAACGTCAAAAGTGCTAATATACCTATAAAAGTGCTATGGTATATATGGTAATAATGTTGTGTTCATCTGGAAAATTATATTTCGTATACATATTTCAGGATCAAAAATAAAACTTTGCCCAAAATTGTGTATGTTTGAATAATGTAGTATGTTCATGTTATTTATTTTTTTCGGTTGACAACTTTTATTCTATACAGACACAGTGATGTAACAAATATATATATAATTCCTGTTTTAAGATGAACTAAAAAAAATTAAGTGCATATATACTAGGAATTTATTTATTCGACTAAACAATTAAAAGACATACCGTCTGTTGTGTAGCTAGTTAAAACTCGTAAATATATATTTTTTATAAATTACTAAAAACAAAAGATTCCTCATAAAGGTAGTTGTACTAATGAATATATTATTGAAATATTTGAATAACTGTAAAAATATTCAGAACAATATATGAATTTAATAAAAATTCGTTTAACTGTTTTGTGACATGATTTTTTTTTTATCAAGTTATAACTGGATTTTGCAGTTAAAGAAACTTGTTTGTCTGATTATAAGTGTGTTCAAAATAATTATTTTTATCGAACCATTGTCATAACTTAAGAAATGTGTTATTACACGAGTAGGTAATTTTTGTTAGTTTGATTGAAATTCAATTACTTATAAACTTTGTTCTTTCTAATTAAAAAAAATATATACATAATAATTTCATTAAAACTATAGACAATGGAAAATGATTTGTCGAAAGGGTAAGTTTTTAATTGGGACTCACTAGTTATTTATTGAAAAATATTGATACGTTCATTCTTCATCCACATTCTCGAGGTGTCATGTTTATTATTATTTTAACAATGATTTGAATGTAACTAGATCTTTTTTATCTTGCATCAATTTGTTGGGTCTATGAAGGCACGCAAATCGTTTATTTTAAGTGTGCGTGCGGTTTACAGAAATAACCGGATGTCGTAACGTACAAATATTTTACTCCACGAGATCAGGTGTGAAACTCATAGGTACATATACACAGTACGTGAACTGATTTATTGAATTCCGTAGAATGAAGAAATCCGTAAAAAAAACATTAACTCGAGTTAACTCCTGCAACAGTGTTATTGTTATAGCGTTTACAAACACATTTCAATTTGCTGTTGCGCTGAAAACATAAGAAAATAATACCAATAAAACTTTTCGAAATCGTTTTTGGACCCGAGCCGAGTAGAAATTTATAATGGTGACAAGTAAAATTGTATTTCCTGACAAAAACTTATGTCCATTACATGTAACTATAAAACGGCGCACGTGGCCACTGCCAATGTTCGTTTTCAATGTCGAGGGGAGATACCAAAAGCGCGTCTGTTTAATACTGTAAAAGTCTTCTCAGCGGACACGGTGTTTATTCATTATTTTATGAGGGAGATGGGCCGTCGCACGCGTTTTCACAGGACCATCACTATGACTGCCACTTTTATAAGACGTTATTGTCGCAAAGGGGAATATGGAAGCAATAGGTGTGCAATAGGAGACACGTAGAGTGGAACGAGACTGGCGATAAAACAGAGTAAAGAAATTTATCGCTAATCTGTTCTCACATGCGACTGTCGTGCATCGACCCCACAGGACGGAGCATAAGGTCGGTAATTCTTTTTCTTCGTGAGCCTTTTGGGGTCCCTTGGTCGTAAATCGGCCGGAGTCCCTCCGTAATATCTTCGTATAATGCATACTTAACGTAAGATAACATGAAATTCTGTCTTTCGACCGCCTTGTACCGAGACCAAGACGCTCTACTACCTATCCCCCTCGAAAATATTCGCGCAACACTGTAGAGGGACAAAGGCATTTGGGTGGGGAAAGATGCTGACATCAGCACGTGTGTACAAACAAACGTATAACGTTGAAAATCAATAAACGCGGTTTTCCACGACGCGTCCACGTTGTATTATTGTGTTTCCTACCGCGCGGTGAAAAATTCTTTTACTGGAAAAACTCCTTGACGCACACTGCCATTTCATGTAGAATTGTTTTCCGAACCACGTCCGGCTGTGCTCACGACATCGTAAGGCAATCTTGCTGAACGATCGAACTACATTAAATATTGCCTCCAGTAGCACTGGGATTTGTTTTGCCACGTTTATTCATATTCGTCATGACTTTAGAGTGTGGGAAAAAAAGTAACGTTTCATCGAAATAAGATACTTGGAAAATATGACTTTCGCATATTCTGTTTTAACTGTATCGCTCAATGTTATAAGAACACCTGCTCTCTCCTTTCATCTGAGTTTCTACAAAAGACAAAGGCAGTGTACACAGTCTTTGTTTACGAAGAAAAAAAAATGTAGGTATCTTGATTTTAATTATGCTGCGCAGATACTTAATCTGATCAATAATGTAAGATAATACTAAAATACTTGTCAATTGTAAATAATCATTTTTTTGTTACAGCTAAAAGTTTTCACAAAGTAAATAATTTTATCTGTTTTATCAAAAAATTAACGGTTAACGTTTAATCATTTTTAAGACTGACGTTTTAATTTTAGTTTCAAAACAAAAGTACAGACGTCAGTTTCAAAGTGCGCGCATTTGGTTTGCGGTCTGAATAAGTCATAACCAGAAGACTCTCCTCATAGGGCCTTAAGAATAGGAAGGTACACTCGGTTGTAGAATTCATGTTTAATTTATATGCGCCGTGAACCGTTAATATCAATTTCTAGTGAAATTCCATGCAAATCTAAACAAAAAATTTAATAGACGAGGTTATATCGCTAAACACGTAAGTATTGTAAAACTATTTAGTTTTAGTATGTCTTCAAAACGATTTGTGTGTGTGCGTGCATATTTTTTTCTTTAAAATGCAAATTTAACTGTTTAAAACGCTAAAAAATATATGACTAATTTTTTATTAAATTAACAAAATATCTGTTTGCTTGTTCAATGACAATATTAATAGTTATTATTATTCATTAAAGCAACGAACAAAAGTATTATATACTTTCAATTGTTACGAAAATCCTATATTATTCATAATTGAATCCAATTAAAATTAATTTGAACTTGGGTTATGTATAAAACATAAATCAAAACATCGTCAAATTGTTGATGCGTTTTACCATAATGAGTAACCCAAGCACCCTTAATACAGTTTGGAGATGTACTTTCCTCCAAATAAACCATAATTTTTTCGTACTATCTGATTTTATACAATACCCACTAGAGTTTTTAGAAGAAAATACACCTAAACTGATCTCTTGGCTGTTTCCTTCGGTTCGTCGAAACTCGTGTATCTTTTCATCTAATATTCAAAGCGGCTTTGTGCGACGACTGAACTGAATTTCAATCCTAAATTGTTAGGGAATTGGTTGTGGAGTATATTTACATAATACCTGAATGAACGTATAGTTGTGGCATCGCAACAAGGGTATTCAACAGGATGCGCGCAGATGTCGTTTTATCAGAACAAAGATATAAACGTCATTTACAATGACAATATTATAATCAGAAAACGATTTTTTATTTTCTATTGGGATCGTATGAAAAGTTTTTGTCTACGTTTACTAAGAGTAGTATAATACTTATGCACAAGAAAAGTACAAACGAGGTCGCCAAACGCGGTGGACCTTTCGCCTCTCCGTTTGTCCTTCGACATGTTAACGCCAACGTTCGCAACAAAAGTCATCACCGTTTTATGAACTATGGTATTGTTGCTCGTGTACTATATCTATGTGAATGCGTCTATGTATGTGCGAGAGTGATAAAAAAAACAACATTTCTGACGACAAACATATGTAGAAGAGTACGTGAGAACCTCTTCAAAACTAAGAAAGTAAAATGTCGTCAGTGTTGACCGACACGACGCGTACGACATAAATTTCTATGCACACAATTCTCAGGGGTGTTTTAAATAGGTTTTGTCCGATGCACTGAAGTAATAACGTTAATACTATTTTATGTGTGTTAACGTAAGCGCATAATTGTCTGAAATTAATTACTATTCGTTCGGGGCGGTTTGTGTGGTGACATACTACAATGTTATAAATCAATCGCAACTTTGGCGGTTGCACAGCTTGTACGTTATTAAATAACGCGTTTTAACTAATTCAACAATCCTTTTTCTCGGTGTCCGTTAATATTGACTTCACGACACGCCTTACACATGTTAACGCATTTCCTGTAAAATATACATTATAAGACCGCCGAAAAAAAATATTAATATTAGTGGTTAAAATCTGTCAGAAAAAAACCAACCGTTAAGTGTTCGGTTTCAAAGAAATTTATGTTTCCATTGCGAAGTTTGATTTTAACGACTACGATTGTTTAATTGGCTTAGACCCTTTTTCGTTTATGCAAATCGAAAGTATATTCTCTGGTTACAAAATATTAAATAAAACCTTGTACATTGTATTATATTTTTCGTAACCCGTTTTAAACGTTCCTCTATAATAATTGAATTGTTTGATTTATTTTGCCTGTAACCAAAGTGCGTACGAATTTCAAATTTTAGTAAAACATTTCCGACATGAAAATTGCGAAAATGTTTTTAGATCGCCGAGAGGTATTTCGTTTGTAGTAAAACAACGAAATATTTTACGCAACCATTCCTTCGATTATTTGTTTGAGTTTTGTGTGGAAGTCATCTAATGTTCTGACTTTACGTAGCATTACCGTGGCAAATTCTTTCTCTGATGAGTATCCCAATAACAACATTACCAGACTTTCCGCGGACGTCGTAATCGAAATAACACCGTGTTGAAGGTTCGTCAATAATAATGGCACACCGAGTCACGACCGCAGGCAATGAATGAAAAAAGCGTCGGGGGATTTAAAACGTATGCGTAAACGTAAAAAACGCGTGTAAAAAAATACACTGACTGGCGCCGATTGCGAAAACAAACGTACGTGGTATACGCTGCTGCAACGTTATCGTGACGTTGTAACATTAAGCCTGCAGGTTTCCTATTGTTCTCTCTTGACGGGCAGCCGACTGTTCCGCCGCCGTGACAATTATACGCTCGGGGTAAAAAAGCAACTGTCGGGGCTGTGGGATTTATGGCTCGGAGTTTTCGACTTCCGAACCAGTGGCCGGTGGGTATATAAAGGTGAACATTCAGACGCCTCGTAACTTTTGTTGTATGGGCTTGCACGTGGAATAACTTTGCATATTTTTAAACAAATCAAATAATAATACACCAAAAACTTTTTCGTTGCACGAAGATTTTATATTTCGTTTTTTTATTATTGAAATAAATATATTCATTACTATTATTCTTCTTGGATATGACTCGTGGTGTATGTTCAACTTGTGTTCAAGTAAAAAATTAAATATTAAATCGTGGTATACCACACTGTGTGATCGTCTACTTACAGTTATACACTTTGTGCAGACCATTGTTTTAACATATTTCTGTATTGTCATAACGGATGAAAAATGGAAATGCATACCATGTTTGGTTTTCTAATTGTATATTTAAATTTAAACATGTCATTTAATAGCTATTATTTATAATGTATGTAATATTTACATATATATTTTCCAAGGGTCCTGTTCGTTTTTAGTTTCTTTTGGGTAGGCGTAGATTTTTTTTTAAACTATGATTATTGGACATTATTGGACTTTAAATTTGTTGGGATTGTTTCTCTCTAATGAATAACAATTAAAACTTTTTTTTTGCCATCAAATAACATTGAAAACAAAAAGAAGGAGTATTTGGAAAAACTATTTGTATCACAACATTACAATAGAGATTTGTTAAAATCCTAAAGAAGATAAAATCTCTGTGGACTGCTGAAATACTTTGGTAAGATTTCCACGCAAAAATTAATCACGCTGTTGTCCCTATAAATAAACTAATTGTATAATACTTGAACAGTGTAGTAAAGAAAGTGTGTTATAAACATAAAGTATACCGTTGAAAATTATAATATTTCATTTAAATGCAATAAAAACACACACTGTAATTAAACTTATAACTTAATTAATACGTATTAAAGCTGCTAAAGTTTTTATATTCGGTAGCCAAGTGATTTTAAACTTAACAGCGTGTTGAAGAGTCTTGTGTACGAGCTCGTTTAATAAATTTTAGTTTCGAGTACTTTTACAGGTTTACTCTCTACGGAATTTCTTGTAATTCGAGGTAAAAAAGACAAATAAAACTTTTATAGGAATAATAAATTGGAGTACAATTTTCATTTTGAAGGGTCTTATATTCAACTAATGTAGCCGATGTGTATGTATTTTATTTTTTTATTAACATAAGCCTGTCGTACACTTGAATAAAAAAGAACCGTCATCCTTTGGTATTTGCTCAGGACGTATATTTTTCTAATGTCCGTGCTTGGTATAATGAAATACTTGTGAAATTCCACATAGAACTTTATATTATTGTATTGCTTGTTTTAGTTATTTTTTTCTTTTAAAATGTCCGATGATGGTAAACGTGTAAATATTATAAAAAATGAAATCGTTATAAAATTTTGGTTTTCTTTTGACTTCCTATAAAAAGACAATAGTCATTGACGGTTTAATATTATTCCAAAGGCGTAGTTTGGAGACTTATGGGTATTGTGTGTGTATACGAAAATTCGTTTACAGTGGCAATGACGTAGACTGTCATGTCGATGAGCTGAAATGACATCAGACATCAGATCACGTTTCTATACAATTGCGGGTATCGGTTATAAGTTTGGTATTCCTAAGGTTCCTCCGACAAAAAAGAGTAAATGATCCATGACCAACACTTATTAATTTAATATAAATTTAACGTTAGAAGGTTAACCATAATCTAATTGATCAATTTAAGTGTTTTAATTTTTGTAACTACAGTCTTTTTGTGAGACATCAATTTTCGTAAATTGTATGAAATGTATCGATTACATTATATCTTACACATTATAATATGACATTATTTACATAGTTCTTCTGTTGGCCAGTATTTATTGTCAATTTATAAATTCGAAGAAATGCAAAAGATAGCATTCATTTACTATGCAGTTATTATTTGATATGTTGACTTTTATGATATACTGTTGGTTAGATTATATAATAAAAATTATTCATTTGTGGCTAATATTATTTAAAATCAAAACTATATTAAAAATATTAATCTAAAACTAAAAAAGCCACAAAAAAATTACAAAAAAATTGCGGATACATATTTCGGAAACAATGTTACAATTACCAACGATTTAATTAGATTGTTAATACAATTAAAGTACATCATTCATAAAAATTAAGGTCAGAGTTAATTTTTCCTTGCGCAATAAATATAATTTATCATATAATTTCCGCTTGAGTTGAAGTACAGACCGAAAAAATTACACAATAAAACAAAACGACGTTCCAGAATATTCGTTAGTTTTTACATTTTAAAACATAAGTAAAGCGACCTTAAATACTTTGAAAAAGAATATAAATTAAGGTCCCTATTGATCGAAACTATTTTTAATAATGGGGTTGGATTTTTTTAAAAATAATCTTTGAATAATACTATTCGGAAGATCGAGTTTTATTTCAAATGTAGTAATAATGTTATTTACTATTTTAAATGCAATTGCAAAAATTGGAATTAATACTCGTAATATTAAAGTGAATTGCGTAACTTTTGAAACTAATTTTATCGTGAATCAATAATACAATGTTTGAATTTAATCAAATATTTGTAACATTTATTGCAGAAAATCAAATGATTCGAATAATACATAACATGACATGAACGGTCAACGAAAATTCAATTTATTGGTAGTATTTGACTGTTATTATTTTTACAGACTGCTAAATAAATATTTGTACACGTTTTACGAGTATGTTCGCATTCGTGATATAATATTACGGCCATGTTATTATTATATTCTTAAAAGGTTTTAAATTTCAAACAAATAAAATAATACTTCAGTTTATTTCTGTGACTAGATATAAATCTATATTTTGAAAACATTTTAGCTATAGGCATTATCAAGTTGGTATTAGGTCAATTTCTATTATTGAAATTAGATTAAACGTTAAAGAAATGATTAAAGAGTGATTATGGACATTTAATCGATTAAACGTTTCAGTGTATTTATGAATTTTCAACTGAGGTCCTAAACGTCGTTATACAAATCTAATTATTTAAAATTGGTTTACTAAATGTTGAGTTGTAATTATATTATGGTATTTGTCTTGTTAATTCGAAGCCAACCTCGGCATCCGGATAAGTTTCAGCTTACATGGATTATTCCTGCTCAGTAGGCCACATTAGGTTGTATTATCAATTGCTGATTGTTTTACCACAATGTATTAGGCAGTTGAATTATTATTGTCTTTTTTTAATTCCCTAAAATATAGCTCACGATCATATAAGTACAACAAAAACGCAACGTTGTACTAGTGTGGTACAACTTTAATGGTTTATTTATTTATAGTGGTGTAAAAACTAAAAATGATCCTTAACGATGTGGACAATACATTATTATACGGGTCTGTGAGTATAGATTGTAAAGTGAACCCTAACATAGGGTTACTATACATTATAATAAACATTGAACGTACACAACACAATAACAAGTTATAAATTTTGAAGGAAGTGAACACGATGACAGCCAACAACTAGCTACTAGTGTAAACCGTTCGGACGGTAACCTGATAATACTTGGCTTCTTTTTAAATCATAAAAATAAAATTTTTTAGTTAAACATAAAGAATTTTCCCATTCATATTAATACAATTACGGTAAAAGTATAATAATTGACGTTTACATGATTAGATAGACTAGATTAACAGTGTACGTAAAATCGACTCGAGGTAATAACCGTGTTGTATTATTGGTATAATTTATAACATTTACTCAGCCGTCATAACATTAAAATGTAATGTACAACTAGTTTAGAAGTGCATTGTTACTTCTTAACGCGTTATTCTTAGGATGCATAGAGATAAATGACAGTATTTTTAAAAGATTGAAAACACTAAAGAAAGCAGTACTTAAGTACTTAACAGATGATGAAATACTGAATAATTTACTAATATCATTCTTGTGTGACTCTACAAAATCCTTTAAAATAAATAAATATGAACCTGGTGTTTAAAGCGTTATAGATAAGACAGAAGATCTCATTTTTGTAGTTAGTCGACAGAAATATTAACCTAGTTGTTCGTGTTGAAGTTAATTGCATCATCGATATCAATTTTACCGTTATATATGGGTGAAACAAAGAACTTTATTGAAATCAAGGTGTTCTATATTGGCTAGAATAGAATTTGTCACACAATGACTGTCATTTCAGTAACCAAAGAACTTTAAACGAGCGTATCGCATGACTTTATATGCGTATCTAATATTTCAACTAGGCATCAAAGGCAAAAGAAAAATCTATTTTATACTCTTTTTTTTTTTCTAATATTTTGTTTCAAATGATTCCGACTTTCAACTTTCACATCTGCTAAAAAAAATAATCTAGCAATTTAAATATTTTGTTTATACATTTTTAAGTCTGAAAATAATAATAATTTTTTTACCTTACCAATTATTGTTGAATTTTTTGATTATGGAATTTTTCGACATTTCCAAAATNTCGCATGACTTTATATGCGTATCTAATATTTCAACTAGGCATCAAAGGCAAAAGAAAAATCTATTTTATACTCTTTTTTTTTTCTAATATTTTGTTTCAAATGATTCCGACTTTCAACTTTCACATCTGCTAAAAAAAATAATAATAATTTTTTTACCTTACCAATTATTGTTGAATTTTTTGATTATGGAATTTTTCGACATTTCCAAAACTTTTCATTTGATACAAATAATTAAATTCGTAGAATATTATTAAGTTCAAAAGCTCGGGGCATACAAATCATTCGTATTACTAAATAATTCAATTTCTGTACATTTCTCCAGGGCAAAAGTTTCATTATGTTAGAAAGACATAAATCTCGTTGTATACTTAAAAATATAATTATATTTATCTCCACTGTAACTTCACAAAATACTTGGGCTTGTCCATAACGTGTCAACAGAGAAATACATAGCTAGACTTCCATGACTTAATAATTATTTGATACACAAATACTTATTGTTGTTATGCCCTCGTTTTATACCCAACGGGAATATTATAAAACAAACAAATACAGTAATTAAGATGAAAATATGTAACTAAATGTTTGCTTTAAGGCGCAGTCTTTACACTTGATCTATTATTTTAACTAACGTAAGAATTGATTTTAATGTTCTGTAATGAAAAAATATAGGGTTTTTAACACACACAAGCCGTCGAAATGTCATAAAACATTAATAAGTAGTGTAAATAAAAATCAAATTTTGAATAATGCTTTTGACTGCAGCTCTTATAAATAATAAGTTTACATTAGTATATATAACAATTATGTTATAATAATTACTCTGTTGTTGTATGCATTTCATTAAATCTTAATAATCATAACCTACACAATTATTTTCAAACCCACACTTATATTTATAGAGATTTATATTATTTTATATTTATTGTAAATGAATTAACTATTTATCAAACATTTTCCAGGAAAACCAGCGAATAAAATGAATGAAACTCCGAAAAAGTAATGGGGCAGGAAAACAACTATGGAATCAAAGGTCATTTCTGTCAACTCAATAGCCTATGGTCCGTTTGGTATGGTTTATTAGCAACCGTGCTGAATGTATATTCCGTCCTTCTAGCGACAAGAAGACTGTCTGGTAAGAATTTTCTTGATAAAAGTACTAAAAACATATTTTACAATATTCCTGTAGAAATATGCTATAGGAGACTCTCATACAAAATAGTCTCATACAATGTTTTTGAGAGTATAAAATAAATAAACGTTATTCTCAAAAAATATTGTTCTGCCTTTAAAAAAAAAAGTGTCGTTTAAAATAGCCAAGTATCTTATACATCACGGATAGTTTTTGGATGATCAATAATATTCTTAAATAATAAAAAGTAGGGGAGAGTCACTTAATTTGGTTTACTTTGTCCTTTTAGCGTTTTTCTAAGAAAGCTATTTACATATGTGAACAACATTTGGGCTTATGAATTTAATTTTTTTTTCTACATGCTACTTTTCATTGTTATTATTTTATTTTTAAATCCAAAGTGGTCCAACTGAAGAAATTTATCACCATATATGAAACTATCATCTAGGCTAGATGGGACTTATACCCAAGATACACAATAATCTTCTCTGTAATTCAAGTATAATTGGTATAAAGTAAACCTTAAGAATTATTAGAAAGTATTTTTGCGAAGTATTGAAAAAATAATAATTTTCACTATATTTAATATAAATTCGAGTGACTTGGAAGTACATTTTATTAGGCCAACCGATAACTTCGATTATCTCAAATGTTATATCGATATATAAAAATGTAAATACCAAAATATTTTTCGCTATATATAATAATTAATATTTTTCTAATATTAATACATCAGTAGTCAATTATTTACTTACTTTTTATATTTTTGAATAAATTGGTTTTGATAACGTAAAAAACATATTTCCATTTTCATTCATGTTTTATTTCAAAATAAAATAATATTTTGTATGAAAGGCTTACGTAAAAATTAAGAATTAATAATAAAATTATGATATATTATTTCTTCTTTAATATAAATTTAATACGGTTAGAAAAACAAGTACAAATAAATATGAATGCAATTAATACATTAACCATTTTTTTTAACACGCCATTTTCTTTTCATTAATCATTTTATACTAGCTGCTTGTGACAATACGTAATAATTTAACGAAAAAAGATTAATTGAGTAATTTTAAAACACAATAAAATCCATTAGCTTATTGAATGCAATAGAAGAAAAATAATTAATTAAGAAGAGATTAATTATCGTGTGTAATTAGGTGAAAATGTCTTAGAGGTCTCGCATAGATATAATTGAGATTTTTATCGTAGAAGTTTTATTATATGTAAAATTTAAAAACAGAAATTTTATAAAAAGAAATACCGTGGAAAAAAGAAAAAAATACTAAAACGAGGTAGTAATTCTTCTGAAGCACTCAAATGTCATTCATAGCTAATGGAGATCAAGACGTTTTAGGACTAAAAACAGTCTGGCAAGTTACAAACTAAGCTCGTCTCTTAAGTAATTCTTTACACGTGTTAATTTTCTAAAATCGACTTTCCTTGTTTCGTTCTTTTTTTTCCTACGGCATTCTACATGTGTTTATTTAATACACATTTATTTTATTTTATCAGCCGTGAGTGTTAGGGCGAGTAACCGAATTTATTCTGTAATTTTATCATGTATGAAACCCACTTGAAATATAAATTTGGATACAAAGGTATTGTGAGTAATTCGCTATTGTTGTTATGTTTTCACACTTTAATCGTGGTCTTTTGTTAACTTATTTAACCAAACTTTTTACTAATAGTCTTAAATAATTAACTTAAATGTAAATGTTCCAAGCTTAATTTGCGAACAGCGCAAATTTCTACATTCAAGGTAGAGTTATCATTTAAATAACATTATTTTGAGTTATTCGTGTAAACCAAAAATAGTTCTTTAAAAGTGTAGTTCGAGATTCCTATACGTTTAGGGAACCTAAGCTTGCAATTCTTATCTTATATGTTCAAAGAGATCAAAAGCGATTCACTATCGGTTCCACATAAAGTCATTTTAAAGAGAGTTAATCCGTGTTGAAACATTAATACAATACAAATTGGCTTATTACTCTAATGCATAGCACTTCACTAACTTTTACAGATAATAAGATTATTAGTATACAGACTGTACTCTAATTTAATCAATCTGATTAATTACACCGACTGAGTAATTATTCATGACAAATATCGTTTAGTGTGATTGATGCAATCTTTGTTCAGTTTTAGAAAAAGAGAAAAACATTATTGACGAAACTTGTGGTTTAGCCGTGGGTGTATTTTTTGAAGAAATTGATGAGGTGTTAAAAATCCAACGATAAGTCTTTGAGTGATTGATGAATCAAGTCAATGTAAAACCCATTCCAATAAAAACTTTTTTGTAAACTAATATAGTAGTGTATAATAAAGAATAGCAAAAATATTTTGTCAACACGATGTTCAAGATATGTTTTATGCTTTTGAACTACTAAATTTAAATTAAAAAAAAATATTACATTTTTTCTTTTTGAGAAAAAAGAGTGAAAAAAAACTACTGCCTAGGTTTCCAAAAATATCACTTTGATAGCTTATTTTTCAACAATATTAATGATTAATATAAAATGAAAAAAGTTTGAATTGTCAGCAAAATAGAGGAATTTATTTGATTATAACTAATTGAAGCAAATACAATTGTTTGAAATACGTAAGAGTTCATACGACGACGTTTCGAAATAATTTTGTTGGCACAGCATAATTAACAAACATCAATATGAATTAGAAACAAAGCAACTAAATTTAATTAAATCGTATATAATTAACACATAGTTGTTACTGAATTGTTATTTACATTTTGTTTCAAAAAACACCACTATTTTATAGTTGTAGAAATTATTGTTAAAATCAAACTTTTACTATCATATTTATATATTTAAATTAATTTAAGAGACTTTTAAGTTAATTATACTTATTAGTTAATAAAAATGTTCATTTAAGACATAATATTATAGTTGCTTATCTACTACACTTGTGTTTTAAGTTTATTTCGCTTCTTTCTCAAAGCATAAATACTTCTTATATTTTAATTATAATATACAATACTAACTTTCCTTAAAAATATTCAAAAGTGTAACTCTAAATATTATTTTTACTAATGAATGTCATCTTGCCTGTCAAATAAATTATGAATTATAACGAAAAGGAACATATATTTATTTATTTTTAGCATCAATGCGAAGCTCAAAAGGTATTAATTTTACTATGATGTGTTTTTTTTTTGTATCTGTTACTGCTTTTTTTCAGCTCTCACCAAACTGATTTCTTTCAACGATACGTCAAAAGATCACCAATCGTATCTAGTCAAAGATATTACCCTAATAAATTAAAAATAATTCACTCGTTCCCCGTAAATGGGTGAAATCTCCAAAAAAAATTACAAATTTAAAAAATCACAAATTTTTGAAATTTTATCATTTTTTTTTTATAGAGGCATGATGTCTTTACCTATCATTTGTTATATTTTTTTTATAAATCTGACTCTTTACCTGCCCACAGGGGGATTTAAAATGACAACTTTTTCACAAAAAATTAACTTTTGAAAGTGTTTCGGAAGGTCTGACACTTTTATATATATCTAAAATTAAAGCTAGTGTAATATACTTTATTATTAAAAAAAATATTTTCATGGTAAAAACGGACATCAAAGTTAATAAAAAAAAATACGATTTTTGTAAAAAAATTCTTTTTTATAATTTTTACTTTATAATGCTATGACCTTTTGAAAAAATGTATGGATCATTATAATATTTTATGATAAACACTATTTATATTCTTCTATAATGCAATATACTTTTTCTTTTAATTAGACCTTTTCCCTTTATATATTTTATATATATATATATATATTCATATATTACACTTTAAATCATAAAACTTGTAATCAGAATATAAATTAGAAAATAGGAAATCATGTAGATTTTGGAATAATCCACCAATTTTTTAAAATTAAACACTATCTACAGATTTGCATTGAAGCGTTTTTTATGATAGTGACTTTAATCACTGTCAGATATCATTATACTTGATCCGTCTATGTCACGTCACCACTGTGCTGGATTTTTTTTTTATAATATATGTATACGATTAATTAAAATTTGTGTACTAGTTTATAAAATGAATCAGAAATTGGTCTTCAATAACGTGCAATTGCCTCGTGTCATTTATTATTATTATAAAGCTTTTATTGATACTTTGGCTCTATTTCTCTTTGATTGTAATTTGAAATGTATTTTTTAGACAAAAAATTGGTGTAATAACTATAGAATATGACTTAAACAAAACTATAGGATTATAAATGTTTTTTGTAATGAGATTATCAAATTATATGTGCATTATTATTGTAAACACAATTAAACAAAGAAATATGTATTGAAAATAAATAAAGGAAAATTAATGTTAAAAATAATCAAATAATGATACTTATATATTTAAAAATAATTTTGATTACTTATCAAATATAAATATAAGATTATTTTACATAGCTAAATACTTATACCTGAGTATTAATATTTTAATATATGTTTACTTATTGCAAGTAAGAGGATGTAATATGATTTTTGTTTACAGAATACTTAGAAGTAGTATGGCCACCCAAGAGTGTATTACCTCCTCGTTTCGAAGTACATTGTTTCGTGGCCACCATCGGCATGGCGGCTGTGTTGGTTCCCTTAGTGGCGTTTACGGCAGCCTTTCGGACCGGAAATATGGCCAACGATTCAGAGAAGCTTGGAAATCTTCTGGATATTCGACGGCGTCGTCTATCCTCCTGTTGGACACATGGTCCTCCATCTTCTTCAACTCTGCATTCGTTTACTGCTCTAGCTTTGCTAGTGGTTAAACTCATGATAGAAGCAAGAATGATACAGGCTGGTCTTATGCCCACTGGTAAGTTGTATGAATAACAAAAATAGTAAATTACAAGTTTTTTTAATTTACATTAATTTTATAGATAAAATCTGGAAGACTGATTTGGACTTTTTGGTGATAAATGGACATCACGCAGTCACGTCTAATACAACATTAAAATTACACATTGAGCCCAAAACTCAATCGGTGTTGGTTCCACAGACATTACCTACTCTACGATCGTGTGAGTTAAAATTTTGTCTCTACAAATATTTCGTCTGAATTTGATATTGCCACTTAGATGTTTATTAATATTTGATAAATCCTTGATATTTTAATTAATTATAATTAATTATTATAAAAAAAAAAAATCAAATTTAGAAAAAATCCCTTTTTAATTATGTATAAGTTGAGCAAACAATAATTAATTGTATTACTTTTTACAGATGTATCCGAACAAGATAGCGCCATGTCTATCGAATTTTTCAACTTTGCGATGGCTCTATTTGTGTATTGTGGTCGCTATGCTTCGGTATTTTGGGAAACAAATAAATGTTTTGCGACACTTTTCTCGGTTCAACTATTTGCCAATGCTTTACAATGCTTGTCACTTTATGTTTTTACAAGTATACTTTACAAGGTAAAATTTTCATTTAAATTATGTAATTCGACAAATGTATAGATAACACTGTAGCTATTATACAAAATAATTTCAATCGTTTATAGATGCAAGTATTGGGTGTCAGTAAAATGATTAAGGAACTTCCGGGAGGCACCAGCTCATACAATTTAGTCTTGGACTACTTAGATACTGCGGTTCTTTTTACTGTCACTACAGTTTTGATATTTATTTCGAATTCGGTAATTTATTATTATGGATACTCACGTTTCAACACATATGTGAAACGACAGACTGGAAGCTACCACAAAAGCTTAACCGATGCGTATTCCAGCTTGATGCCGTATTGCGCTAGTGTTCTCATTTTGTTGGCCGTTATCGCCACAGAAAGCCCTTTGCTCTACAACGCCATAGTTGTATTCCGTTCATCTTTAAACGGTGTCGTATTAGTGTCTCTGCTTAATTCTACGGCTCACGTTTTTGTGTGGATAGCTATGTGGTCAGTATTGACATTGAAGCCGTGTTGGAAATTCGAATTGCATCTCTTCTTGGAGTACGATCCAACAGAACATACAGAAGAGCCTGATGATAACCGCGTTCCCATGTTGGTAGTAGCGCAAGGTGGAACTTACTCGATAACCGAAAAGACTGCTAAAAGAATGGTGACTTCTGTTGTCGAACGAGTAGTAGTTGACTGTACTCGATGGAGTTCTGGTTAGTGATATAATATTTATTTATCTACAGTGGTGTACTCAAGATTTTTAAATGAGAGGTCTATCAACAAAAATAAATTATATGGCTGGTTTTTTAAATAATTTACCTAAAGTATTGCGTTAGCACAGCCATGACAGTTTATCCTTAAGACTCCCTAGATACGTCATTCTTTTTCTGTTATTATAATTTTTTTGAATAATTAACTAATAATAATTTTTTCTGATATCTAGATAAGAATAAATCCAAGAGGACGCCTAAAACGATGAGCGATGAACAAATATATTGGCCACGGCCAAAATCGAGTTCTGGTCGGAGCTGTTTAAGTGAAATAGATGAATCAGACGATTTATCTTCTGGTTGTTTTAGTTGTATACGATCAAAAAATTCTAAAAAGTAAGCAGATAAAAATTACGAATTTTTAAAATTCATGCAAATATTGAATAATCTATTGCATCGGTATATTTTAAATGTATGCTTTAGAATAAGTTTTGATTATTCAAACAGTAATGTTACTGATAAGCCAATTATAATAATTGTGTTTGCTTATATTGTTTTAAAGTTTTTAACTTTTAAAATAAAGTGCAAACTTTTGGAAAGAAACCCATGTAACAAGATCTTTTATGCGTTGCACTGTATAACGGTAAATTTTATGTAAAAATACTCATTTTTAGCTTCGATGCGAAGCTGAGAAGGTATTGGTTTTACTAAGATGTGTTTTTTTTTTTTTTTTTTTTTTTTTTTTTTTTTTT